AAATATCAGTTGAGACTCTTTCAATTCCAAGTCCAAAGATTCCTCAAATCAACCAATATCAAGCTCCAATTTCAATCCTCCAAAAATCAGGATGGAGACCAGTAGCTTACAGGTCACCATAACTGGGAAAGCTAGTCTTCTGACTCACATACCCATCCCAGGCACTTCCCACATAAGGAAGAAGTTGTGTGAATAACACACACACACACACACACACACAAACACACATCACTGGCTAGTAGTTAAATCCAATTGACTTTAAAAGAGTGACATTGGAAGAGCCTCTCTTGGCTCTTCTGTGTGCTAACTTTTTTTGTACTGCATTGGAGCTTCTTCCAACAGAGCCAAAATTGATTGCCTGGGGACTTTATTCTCACTATTGCCTGCTTTAGTCATCCCAGCAGAAAGAACAATTATCTTCCTCCATCTCCTGATTGATTCCAAGAAAGGACTTTGGTCTTATATATGACTCAAACCTTGAACTAATCTCTATTGCTAAGGAGATGAAGCACCCAAAGTTAACCCGCCTGGCTGGCTCACATAATCACTGAGTGGGAAAAGTTCAACTTCCCAAAAAGAGGAGATTAAAAAAACACACACACACACATTCTCACAATTAGTCATTATATGCTTTTGAAATAATTATTAATCCTCCTCTTAGATTTTCTCTTTTAAGATAAATGATTCTGAAAAGTATATAATTAATTTAGTAATCATTAGTATTAATGAATTTGTTAAATACTTTAACAATGGGTAGGAATTAGGGAAATATGACAATATTAGGCATTAATAATTGAAACAAATTAAATAGACCAAGAATGGGAGGAGGAGCAAAGCCAAGATAAACTTTATCTTTGGTTTTTTAACAGCTTTGCCCTCAGGCATAATTTTGTCCTTCAACTTGGGGAAGATAATCCAAAGAAGCAGATTTCAACAGTATAAATGATAAATTGCAACTCTTTCAACACCAAAATAAACAAAGAAGTGTCAGGACATGTAGATTAAAAAGAATATAAAGAAAAAAAACCTCAAACTGACATGTTCAGAGGTTGCACAAATCCAAGACATCTAAAATTCTATCTTAATATTAAACCTTTCTGATCATCCAAAAATGACAAAGCTAATTATTTTTTTAACCTTTTTCCCTCAAGGTTACCTGCAATTCCTATTTAGAATCAAGGGGCAATTAATTTGCCTAGTAAGTACAGCACAGCATAGTGACTACTTTTAATTGGGTTCTCCAATTTCTTTCCTAGCAAGGAACTTGCAAATGAATGAGTGAATGTCAACCTTCCTGACAAATCCTGGAAGTGGGTTTACAGAGCGGCTTCTAGCGCAAAACTACATTTAAGTCAATCTTCCAAACAATTGTTTTTTTTATTTTTTATTTTTTTTATTTGTTATACCTGACAGTAGTATGTATTTTAATATATTGTACATTCATGGAGTATAACTTCCCATTGTTGAGGTTGTACATGATGCGGAGTTACGCTGGTTGAGTATTCATATATGAACATAGGAAATGTTATGTCCAATTCCTTCTACTGTCTTTCCCTTTCCCATTCCTCTCTCTCCCTGCCCCCACTCCCCCCTGTCTAATCTGGTGAACCTCCACTCCCTCACCTCCCTGCTTATTGTGAGTCAGCATCCTCATATTAAAAAGAACACTTCAGTCTTTGGTTTGGGGGGAATTGACTTCTTTCACTTAGCATGATAGTCTCCAGTTCTATCCATTTACCCTCAAATGCCATAATTTCATTCTTCTTTATGGCTGAGTAATATTTCATTGTGTGTATATATCAATTTAAAAAAAATCTCCCAGGGTCAGGTTTATAGCTCAGTGGTAGAGTGCTTGCCTAGTATGTGTGAGACACTGGGTTTGATCCCTGGCACCACGTAAAAAATAAACAAATAAAGGTATTGTGCCCATCTATAACGTGTGTGTGTGTGTGTGTGTGTGTGCGAGCATGTGTATAAATCTCTCATGAATCATTTTACAGCCTATTCAAAATTCATAAGCTGAAAGATACATTTAAAAGAAATACTAACTAACACCTATACAATCAGGATGTCTGGGAGAACAGTAAACAAGTATGGATAGAACTTCTTTGTAGTGGAAAACTGGGTTTTGGAATAAGGCAGGACTGAATTTTAATCTCACTTTCACTGAACATTAGTTGTACAATGTTGAGCCATATACTTAATCTATTTTTTGGTGGATTAACGAATAGAGTTAAAATCCGTTCTCAGAAGAATTTCATGAATAATACATTAAATACAATAACATGTAAAACCGTATCACACGTAGTAGGTGCACATGAAATGGAACTGTATTGCTATGCATAGTTTGTTAGGATTGTCCAAAACATCTCCCTTGGACTTCAGTGGGTTTGAGGGGAGACCAGAAATAGTGGGGAAATCAACTTGCGTAATCCAACAGGGACCCCAAAATACAATTCCTATCACTAAATGTGATGCCCAGATGGAGAATTTTTTTTGGTATGAGTTGGAAAATAATTTGGATCAGTAAGAGTTTTTGTTTTCCCTATTTTTCATGTGGGGACTGAACCCAGGGCCTCAAGATCGAGCAGAGATCTTCTTATGAATCTCACTCACCACTAACTGCCTTCTCATCTACTTTTTCTTGTGGCCACTCTCTGTTGTTTGGAGAAAGATGGTTTCTGAATGTATATAGTAGAGTTCACTAAGACTTGCCTTCTTTGAAAGCAGTGTCTACCTACTACAAAGGACAAACCACTTCTAGAATATTTAAAACAAAAATCCTTTAGCCATAACCAGGACATACCATTCTATTCGGCATTAAAAGAAACGGCTTAATGACAACCAGGGTTCCGTAACACTTCTAATGACTAATGATGATGCAAAGTATGGTTCCATTTGCTCTCTTACAATTATATCCACCAGTCTAATAGCAGAGTGACTAGGAAACATTTAAAACTAATTATTGGTACTTATGTTTAAGACTTAGAATCATACTTTTGAAGGCATTCAGAACTATGGATCATGGCTCAGACAATATTTTACTCCCTGTTAAACAGGCCTATCACTGTATCCTAATATTTTTTCAGAGCAGTAAAAACACACACACTCTTAAGCAGATCCCTGCAATTAAACAACCATCATATTTAATTTTGCCAACTCTGGGGCTCTAATACATTTATCTCTATTTTCTCCCCTTGTCCTCTAAAACGTTTCTTAAAAGTTCTTATTTGATTTAATATGTGAAAGCTGCAGAGGCCTCCAGCACACACAGTTTTCAATAGTGCAATTATGTAGGGTGTAGATTTTAACTACAGTGGTGAAGAAAGGTAGTCAAATTGATGGTTTAATCTCCAGTATTTTAGAATTTGAGATAAACGATGCTCGGGCAATTAGGTTTCTCCCCACCCCCAAGCCCAAGGTCAGTTTGACACTCTGAATGGTTAAATCATCCTTGGCAAAGAGTCTGAACTTGGCAGAAGCTTCATAATGAGAAATCCAGATGACTGGTATCATTTGTAATGTGAGTGCCCTGCACTTAATCTAGCACTGGTTTGTTTTTGTAAGAAATAGCAATGACTTAAAAGAAGTCATTAGGGATGTTTAAGATTTTAACTGCTTTGACACTAGATGTGGTCTTCACCTTTAATGGCACATTTTAGCATTAAACTATACACATAAATAAGCAGTGTAGGACTTCTCAGTTCACTTCTGCTGTAGAGTACCAAAAGGATTCCATCGGCTTCTTGCTCTGCTTATGAAAAATGCAGAGCTTTCTCTAAAAAAAAAAAAGTAAGCTGGATATTTCATTGCAGAAGGCCAAGCATGGAGGCTCACAATACCTGATCTCTTTTGAATTTTCAACAAACCACTTAAATATAAGCTCCAGAAATAGTGCAGCTTTCCATGGACTACAATAAATATCAGATGGAGATTTCAGGATCTTGGGATCAACTAATTTTTCTGCTGATAATTTAGCCAATCCAGACTAAAAATTATACTGCAAGAACTCTCATAACTAGTCTTTATGTAACAATGCACTGGATTTACCCAGATCTGTGTGATCTAAAGCTCGAGTTTTTACATATCATACTTGTTTCCTTAAGTACATTTCAGCTCATGGGGGAAAATAACAGGCAAACTGGTATTTTTTAGTTGATCAAAATAGGAAAATTCTCCAATCAATTCAAACAAAATAGACACCTCAGTAATTCCAAGTAGACCCAGTTTTAATTAAATTCCTTCACTCTCCTTGTCTTTACATTCTTTCTCAACAAGAAATATATAACAAACTATACAAAGTGGTAAAAATGTTGTGGTATATTAGCTACCTTTCACAAAAGAATATGACTTTGGTTTTTCATTTTCTTTTAGGAGTCTTAGTCTTAACTTTGTACTATAGAGAAAGGAAGAAAAACCCTTTTCCACTAATCTCTGAGTTCAATACATGAGGCCCATAAACTGATAAGTGACAAATTATAAGAAAAGTTTTCTTGATAATATTTTTATACACAAGCCATAGACCTCACCAAAACACAGGGAGACTCAGAGCATATATACCATTTTAACAAAGCACTATGGAATGAGGGAAAGTGACTAGATAAAGGAAGAAGGGTGTTCAACTTCTAGAGTTGGTAAATAGTGATGTAAGGAGCATCTGCCATAGACATACTGGCACAGGCTAGGACTCACTCAGTTGCTGGCCATAAGGAGCAGCAGCCATTGAACTGCTTAGTCATGTCTGCTTGCAGTTGATAAGGAGCTGTAAGGGGCACTAGCCATAGGCATGCTTAGCAATGATGGGTTACAGTTTATAGGAAGCACAGCTCCATGGACATGCACAAAGAACATGCCCAGCTGCAATTACATCACCTCACTGGACATAACCAATGAACACTGACTTTCATTGGGTGTAACCACTCACCAGTGTATACCACCAACTTGAAACAGTATTTAAATCTCTGGTCCTGCCACATTGAGGATTTTTGCTCCAAGGACATCGTTGAGACTGGCTGCCTTGCTGTCTGTCCCTGGACTGACTCTACCATTCCTTGACCTCCAGCCATCTGCTGGAGAGAACCGCCAGACAAAGAAAATGTCTGCTCTTTGGCAAAGAGAAGTCACGTGGCATTGGAGGTATTTGGGGGCTTGTGATTGCCCTAGGATTGTGTGATTGGCTTATTGTGTTTAATTGGTGTGCAATAAATGCTAGTTGGGTTGCTCCCACACACATAACATTTTTTGCATTAATTTGTATGTTTGATGATTGGTGTGATCGAATATACACTTGCATTTAAAGACAATCCACCTCCAAATAATTATTAATAGTGCCACTCGAGACAAGTGGAAAGATTTACATGGGGAAACCAATGGAAGATAAGGATTATTTTGTGTGTGTGTATGTGTGTGAACTTCTCTTGGTGCCGACTTTCTCTCTTCTTCATGGCCATAAAACTCCCATTAGAAAGAGGACAGTTTTCATTTCTCAGATATTTCTTTTAGTCAGATAAGGGATGCCCAAGAAGGTTTATTTTTTAATCTGTTGGTTTTAATTGCCTTTCACTAAAAATAAGCCACATGGCAAAGTGAAATATTTGGGGACTAATATGCTCTGATTGATAGACTGTGAGATGAATAAGAAAAATGCAGTTTGTTTAGGAGATGAGATGACTTGGCATTTTTTTAATTGACAAGATCTAGTGAGGGTAAGTACAATACTGCCTTAAAGCAAATTAAAACATTAGAGTGTTTCTGAAGAGCCTGTGCATTGATGCATCACATCACCATAATATACTGCTTTCTCCCACTGTACTCTGACTCACCTGTAATAAGTCAAACTGAGTCAAACTCTAACCTGTGCCCAAAGGAATGCATTCTATGATCAATGCCAACCCAATGCAAATAGCAATATCAGAAAGAAAACTGCTGATAGAGTGTAAAAATGAGAAGCTGAGGTGTGGCACACTTACAAAAGGTCATCAGTGCTTCCCGAAATTCCACTCAGAAATTTGGGTAAGGATGGGATGTGGTGCTCCACCACATTTGAAATTTTCCTTTGGGTTGCCTTGTCAAACAGGTTTCATCAAGATTGTGTCTACCTAGCAAATAAGTTTGGAGGAGGAAAAAAAAAATTGAACCAGTCAGGCATTGGTTATTCCATTATCCAATTAGTTTGACCTTTCACTAATTAATGCAGATTGAGAATCCCTAACCCAAAATCCAAACCATGAAATGCTCCAAAATTTCAAACTTTTTGAGTGCCAACATGGTGTAAGAAATGAAAAATTGCACATCTGGCCTCATGTAGCATGTTGTAGTCACAACACAGGCACACTAAGAATAACTTATAAAATTACCTCCAGGATATATATAAAGCATAATAAATTTCTTGCTTAGACTTGGGTCACATTCCCAATGTATCTCATTATGCATATGCAAAATTTTTTAAAAACCCAAAAATCTGTTACTAAGCATTTCATGGAAGGGATATTCAACCTATAATCCCAAATGGACCCATAAGTGCCCATCAAAAAGAACATGTCTATAGTGATGCTCTAGTTTCTTAAAATTATGAAGGAGAAAATTTCCAGACTGAGTTTCAGGAGAAAATGCAGACTCAAAAAGCATCACAAGCAGGTAGTTGGCAGGTTACTTTGGCTTTCTTAATCAGGAGCAATGAATTTGTAAAATGAGGACCAATGTGATTCTTCAACCAAAATATCCCCTGAATCAAGGATGCTCTTTCATGAAAGAGTAAGGAAACATTTTCAAAGTACTGGCAACCCATCAGAGAGGAAAAATTAGCTGCAATGTCCTGTTATACAGGCATTCCCAGATCTATTTATATTCTACAATGACAGAAAATGCATCTGTCCAGTGTTGGAAAGACACTAGAGGACTTAATTATCTGAATCCCCTCTGCAGTGGTTGGATAAGAAGGGCGTATCCTCACATTTCTCATGCCTGAACTCCAACCAAGACCTGGTCAGAAGGCTGTAGGTCTGTTCAGGGAGCCAACAGGAAGTTTTCCTCAATTTGAGCCAGCTGGATAGGGATGAAGCTTGCTTCAGCTGGAAGTCATTTGTGCTTTTCCTCAGACTAATCGGAATCAGTGGCTTAGGAGAGCACACACCAAAGGTGATCTTGCTTACTCTGATCTGGTCTAGGTGCTGAAATCCAGCTGCTAAAATATTTAAGGGAAGTACCTGGAGTTGTCTGGTTTGCTTTGATGAAGAGCAGGATAAGAAAGTACTGCTCATAGAATGGAAAAATGAGAAGTTGAGGTGTGGCACATTTACAAAAGGTCATCAGTGCTTTCCAAAATTCCACTCAGAAATTTGGGTAAGGATGGGTGGGGGCTCCACCACATCTGAAATTTTCCTTTGGGTTACCTTGTCAAACAGGTTTCATCAAGATTGTGTCTACACAGCAAATAAGTTTGGAAGAGGAAAATAAATTTGAATCAGGCAGGCAACTAGTTATTCCAAATCCAAGCAGAAACATCAAGTCATGAAAAGTCTAGAAAGTAGCAGCTATTCAAAAAGCAGCAAATCATCTTTTAAAAATGTGTTTTTGTGTGAGGACCCTTGTCTTGCTTGGTTACTGTCTCTCTTAGGAATGAATGTCCTTCAATGTGTTTAAGTTGTCATTTAGTAACTTGCTGTTTGCACTTTTCCAGAGGCCAGAAAAGGAAGGAATGGCTAGCCATAACCCATCCTTGGAAATTCTATCACTGGTAGTTCTATCTAACAGCCTTACCACATGAAGACTTGCTCAGCCTCCTGGCAGAAGGTAATCTAATGTTGATTTTTACCAAAAAGAATAAATGCTTTGGTCTAGTGAGTTTACCTGTGAGCATTTACATATGCTAATACTGATCACCCCAGAGCAGAGATGTGCCAAGTTCACAGTGTGAACATCACTTCAGAGAGCAGCAGGATTGCCCATAAAGATCACTGACCTGGGAGGTACAAGTGACAAAAGTACAGACTTATACAAAACACCCTCTCCCTAATCCGAGAGAATAGCATCCTTAAGTTTACAAAAACCTTTGTAAATGTACAAGAAATTCTACACACTATAATACTGACTCAAAACAATACTTTGTTATTTTGTTTAATATATTATAGGTTATCAACTGTATGTTAGGTAAAATACACCTACCACTGATGAGTTTCAGGAAGGAGAAACACAGACGCCAGATCAACGATGGAAAAAGAGTTCTATAACTGAGATATGAACAGGAGTAAAAGAAGATAGCCAAAAAATAATCTGGAACAAATAAAGGTTTACCTTTGTTGTCTTTAAAATTTTGCATGACTTCAAATACTCTGTGTTACTCACTGAAAATAAACAATCTAATTCTGTCTTTGCTAAGCTAGGTTTCTGAGTGTGTTCTGTGAGGTCATGTGTTGGGTGAGGGCAAGGCTCAGGCCCAGGAACCAAGGTTTGAGGATCTAGGAATTTAAAGAAGATGGAGGTAGCCACAGCCATTGGCCAGCCCCTTGAGCCATTTCCACAGTCCCTTTTTATAGAAAGTTCAAACAAGGCACACTGCCAACAGGTTATATAAGGGGCAGGGGTGGGGGAGCGCATGTTCATTGTCCATGTTTATGACCTTGGTCATACATGCTGAATCAGAATGTGTAAGGCCTTGACTAATCCCTGCTCTGGCTACACACAAAATTACATAACATAAAACACAGTCTAGGGGAAGTCTTGGCGAGGGAGTCTACCACTATGTTGGGCTTGCCCTAACACTGTGACAGACCCCTCTAACCAAATTCTTTCCTGAGTCCCTTCTCTTACCCATGGTCCAGGCGAAGAAGCTCTGGAGTTTCTTTTATAATACATCCTGAGACATGCAACGTCTGCGTAGGTATTTAGTGAGATGGGTCACCTTGGCCAAACGCTCGAAATTGCCGCTGTGGCTGGAAGAAGGTGGAAGAGGAAGACAGTGAAGAAGGATGGGCCAGGACAGACAAACAGGTGGGGGGAAAGAAGGACTGGGAAAGAGAAAAAAGGGAAGATGACAGAGAAGGAGGAAGAAAAGGAGGAGGAGGAAGGGGAGTGGAGAGAAAACAAATAAAAGGTGAAGGAAGAAGAGAGGGAGAGAGGAAGAGGAGGAGGAAGGAAGAGGAGGAGGAGGACCAGGAGGAGGACACAAATGGGGAGAGGGTGATGATTAACTCTAGACTTTAAAAAACAATAAAAAACTGTGCCCTCTCCCTACTCCTCTGGCATTTTACTGCCTTAGGAATTCTCCCCCCACCCCAAGAACTTTCTCTGGTCCTTTACTTTTCCTCCTACTTCTTTATGGATCTTCTCATGAATTCCACAAAGGTTTCAACCACCACTTGTAGGCTAATGGTTTCCAAACATTTCTGTCAGTCTCTACCACATACCCTAAAATATTATGCGAGTTCCCACCTTCACACTCCACGGGTACCACAACATCAACACACCTAGAAATTACCTCATTGCTTCTTCCCCTCCCCTTCTCACCTCCTCCTCAAGATTTTCTTGGGCACTCTGAGGGAATAACTTGGTATGACCTTGATACTATTGAAAGCTTCTTAACGAAATACTATTAAATAGCCTATCGTTAGTCTTATTGACATTAGAAACCTCAGTGTCAGCCCAACTCCCTTCTCTCCTCACCCTTCACATCAAATGTGTTTCAAATCATGTTCATTAAATCCACCTCAAATGTCTCTCAAATCCAACTTCTCTTTTCATTCCCATTCTTACTCGCAGAATTCAGCACACTTGAATATTTATTCAGGGACTACAGAGGCAGGATATTGTGGTTTGGGGCACAGGTATTAGATTTAGAATTTAAACCCTAACTTGGCTGCCTACTAACTGGATAACCTTGGTGAAAATGTTTAATCTACTTACATCTATACCATCTCAAGGGGTTGGTTATTTGGAGCAATATTTCTAATGATTCAGATGTTCTTAGGGTTTTTTTTTTTTTTGCCTCACACATAATGAGCCTTTAATAAATGGTCGCTCCTTACTAAAAAGTGACGCTGACACAAATTTCTTCCAACTTCCAACTCCAAAAATTATGGTGTATTTATAAAAATAAAAATGTCGATGTCAATATTCTAATAAAAAGTCCTATCTATTATAGCAAAATTTGTGAATAATGCGACTGCTGAAATTTTGGACTAGAGAAGTATTTGCTCTGGACTCTTTTCTTGCACATTTTAGGGTATTTAGCAGCATCTCTGGCCTCTGCTCACTAAATACTAATAGTATCTCCTTCTCTGTAACAATTCAGAATGTCTTCAGAAATTGTCTAATACCCCACAGGAGACCAAAAGAAATCACCCCCAAATGAGAACCACTGACCATTGTTCAAATTTTTAGTGTGCGTTGTAAGATCCTTCACAAGTTGAACCAGCATTAACTATCCTGCTTTATTTCGTACCATTCTATCCCATACCTAGGGTCCTCCATTCTCATCTAGCCTGTCTCACAAGGTCAGGTCCTTTCACAAAGCTTTGCTCTTCAGTGAACTTGATGTTCCCCTTCTTATAATGTCCTTCTCCAAATTCTCCACCTAATAAACCTTTCCTGTTTGTTACATACCCAGCACAAATATCAACTCTCCCTGGGGGTTTTCTGGTCAGAGCTACTTTCACTTGATACCTGATGTATTCATTTTATGCAATTTGACTTGCTTAGTACATGCTGTGTCTGTTCACCAACTTGTTTTGCTGGCCTTACTAGACTGTGAACTTCTGTAAAACAGGAATTAAAATCTATTCATCGTTATCCAGCCATAGTTAATAGTGTGACCTCTAGCACACCACAGGTGTTCAATAAGCACTTTTAGATAAATTGTACTCTCATGGGTCCTCCTATTTATTGAGTCCCCTTTGAGGGTAAATATTTCATCACACATAATATTTTCAGTTTTTCTTTACCTACTGAAATAGTTTCATCTTAATTGTTCTTTGGTCAGAACCCTTTGTAGATAGTTAAACAAATAATTGAATCCACTATTGGGCAGTATGTGTTAATGATATAGCACATTCCCCTCCAAGAAGTCATTTTCCAGGGAAGGAGGCTGTGGTTACGCACACAGCTCCCTCAGTTTCTTTGTTTTCAAGTCCTTTTTTTTTTTTAATTGGTAAGCTCATGATATTGATGGGGTTAATTTCAAGTGTGATTTTAAGATTAGATGAGTTACTGATCCTGAAGCACATATAAGTACATACATAAGCAAATCCTTTAAAATTAACCTACAAACACTGACGGGAATTTGGAGGTAGGGCATATAAATCTGATGATCAATGTGTGTCTTTTTTTAATGTATTTTAATTGACAAATAATTGTATGTATTTATGGTGTACAACATGCTGTTTTGAATTATATATATAGTGGGATGACAAATCAAGTTAATTAACATGTATTACTCACTTGTGAGAATACTTTAAGTCTACTCTCAGCAATTTTCAAGTGTATGATGCTTTGGTATTAAGTGTAGTCACCATGTTCTACAACAGATCCCTTGAACTTTTCTTATCTAATCAAATTTGGTGTCCTTTGACATCCACCCAGTCTCTTCCCCCACCACCTTAGCCCTTGTTAACTGCCATTCTACGCTCTACTTCTATGGCTTCAAGCTTTTAGAATCCACATATAAACGAGTTCCTGCAGTTTTTATCTTTCTATGCCTGGCTTACTCTACTTGCCATATTAATGTTTTCTAGATTCAAACACATTGTTGTAAATAACAGAATATGTACTGCTGAATAGTGTTTCATTATATATATAAACACCACATTCTCTTTAGTCATTAATTGGTGGATTTCATAACTTAGCTATTGTGGATAATACTGAAATGATTATGGAAGTATAGGTATCTCTTTGATATACCGATTTCAATTCTTTAAGTTATATACCCAGTAGTGAAGTTGCTAGGTACTGTAGCAGGATTTTTTTTTTTAATTTTTTAAGGAACATCCTGTTTTCCATAATAGCTGTACTAATTTACACTCCCATCAATGGTGTACATGGGTTCCCTTTCCTTCATACACTAACATTACCTTTTTTAACAAGTATGAAGTTATATCTCATTATGATTTTAGTTTGCATTTCCCTGATGATTAGTGTTAACCGGCAATTTTCCATATACTTATTTCTTAAAGAAGACATACCAATAGGAAATATCTATTTAGGTCCTTTATTCAATTTTAATTGTGCTGTTTTCTTCTATTGACTTTGATTTCTTCAGATATTTTGCATATGAACTCCCTATCAGATGTAATGATTTACAGACAATTTTCCCATCCCGTAGAGTATCCCTTTACTCTGTTCACTGTTTCATTTACTATACAAAATCTTTTTAGTTTGATACAATCCCATTTTTATATTTTTGTTTTGTTGTCTATTCTTTTGGGGTCATGTACAAAACCAGACAAATGTTATAGATTTTTTTCCCCTGTTTTTTTCTGTTTTTTCCCCAGTTGCGGGCAGGCCTTAAATCTTCAATCTACTTTGTTTTCTGTATATATTGTGAGATAATAGCATGATTTCATTCTTGTAGATGTGTATATTCAAATTTCCCAACTTACATCTGCCTTGTTTCTACCAGTTCTGTTATTTCAGGAAAAAAACCATATTCACAAGGAATTTGATATACAACTTATTACAGTATACAGCTTATTCTAAGTGCATTGCATATTGTCCCTGAAAGTATTGCCTCCTACAAGGTCTTTACTTCCCAAATATCCTTTATTTCATCAATCTGGAGAGAGTTTTGGTTTTTGCTAAGACAATCAAAAAGTATCTGGACGTGCTTTGGTGGATCCAGATTTTCAGAGGGCTCAGTGACTGCTTTAGAAAAATGACCTGGTGCAGTATATCAATTACCATTCAGTAAGTCCCACAGTGTTATTGCTGCAGGAAACAAAGTGCCCCAAACAGGAGGGCTTAATCAGGAATCAACATGTGGGGCTAGATGAGGCCTATAAATATCTGCATTCCTTATATAAGTCACTTTCTTCTGTGCACCAGTTTTGTCCTTTTGCAAATGGGAATAATAATATCTTCCCTGTTTGTTGGCTATGCTTTGTAAAATCAAATAAGATACCATATGTTCTAGCAGTTTTAACTTTTAAATGTTAACCTGACTCTTAATTCTGAAACAGCCTTGCAGAAGAGCAGTGAATCAGCTATAATGCTTTTTGATTTATTTTTCACCAGAAAATAAATCACACAACATTATAGCAACATCAGCAGTACTGTGTGACTTTATTTTCTCAATATATAAATCTGCCATGTATATTATGGGCCTTTGTGTGACTGGCACTGTACTAAGCAGTGGAAGCACACAAAAAAAGAGAAGTTACCTC